AAATACCCCAAATTCCATCGAATTCTCTAAGTTCATGGTAACTACCTTGTAAGAAAACCTGTGTGCTGGCATAAAAAGGACTATTTTTGCAACAGTTAAGTGTGTAAGGAATGTAGGTAAGACAAAGCAGCAAATGAATTATGCAGCTAACAAAAGACACAGCTAGAACACAGAAACGCTACACTCAGATAAAACTCCACTCAGCGTTTGACAAACAGCTAGAATATTTATTGCAAGGAAGTGCAGACAGCAATCTTTACCTGTTCTGGTTCAACATGACAGAACATGGAAATCTTTTCTTTTACTGAGGTATCCAGTGGAGTGGAGCACCTGCAAACAATCTAACAGAACAGCAACATCAAGGTTGTGAAGCCAAACAGAAGTACTCAGACATTCATAACACAAATCTCTAAACAACCTGTCTTTCTGCAGTCTCTGTGACTTGGGAAAAAAACCCAACTCCGTTACTTTTACTTCTTATTACCAACAAATAAGAGCTCTCAAACTAAGCATTATTTAGACTAGAACGTTGTTGCAACATGCCACTACTGCATTTTTAATTCCAAAGCCAGACAGCAAGTCTTACCAGATCTGGTGAGAGACCAAGACCTCTGAGTTCACGAACACTGTTTTGGGTGGGTTTAGTCTTCTGCTCTCCTGTAGAGCTTGGCTGGTCAGAGAAGAGCAGAAGTTGGTGTATCAGATTTTCATGATATGTAGCAATGATTCATCAGGCTCATCGGGACTCTCCACCCTATTAATCTTGTGAAAACTTTAACCCAGTTCTTAGACAATTCACATGAACTTTAAATACCCCTTGTACACCATCATTCTAATCTCAAAGACTGAAAGCAACTGGCAGAAACCAGAGTTCAAGTCTGCACAGTAAGTAGGTATGCATCACAGTGAGGGAAGGAGAGAACACAGATCCTAAGGTTTTTATCCACTGCTCCCTCTAAATACCTAGTATTTTATATTTCTAATTTTTTTCCCACTGTAAATCACCCAGCCTGGACAGAAGGGGAAAGAAAGAGAACAAAGACTGATCTGCACTGGAGTAACTCTATCAAGTTGCTCTGCCAAATCCATTTCCCAGACAAGGAATATTCATGCTCTCTAGTATTGTTAACATAACCATGGAAGAATTTCCTTCAGCAGCAACTCCTGCAGGAGAGGATTTTGTTTGGTGAAGACTGTAAACTGTCTTCAAAACCAGAGCAGATAATACAGGTGAGGTTCTATCAGGCATTATATGGCATAAAACACCTTCATATGCTTTTCGTATTAACTGGAGTTCACCCCATCCACTTGGCACATAAGGATATTTTTGTTTCCTTTGTGATTCCTAATTAACTGATTCTTATCATAGCACTGCTTCATAACACCTTTTCTTAGTTGAATCTCTGAACCAAGGGCAACTGCCACTCAGATTGTTATGACTTACACAGCGATCAGATGGGAGAGTCTATGAAATTACTGTTAAAGATCAAAACACATTAAAAATATTGTCTAAGGGGGAAAAAACCATATTATCTTTCAAAACACAGTATTATGTTTTGAAATTACAAAAGTAACCCAACCTATCTCATGTAAATCTTGTGGGAAAAAAAAGGGCACACAGCGACATAAATATTAAAGAATTCCAGGAAAAGCTTGGAATATGATCTTATTAATACAAGTCCAAACGGCTACGAAGTCTGGCTACATCACTGAATTTTATATTACCTTTGCAGAAATGAAAAGCTATGCAAATGAAGGGAAACTGAAAGTTTTCAGCCCTAGAAAGCAGGTTTACCTGCAAAAGCCAGGAGACAATTCCAAGGAGAAAAACAGCAGCTAAAGATGCAAAACTGCATCTGCTGCAACTCCCAACTATTTATTACACGTTTGCACACTCTGAAAAGTTTCTGTTCGCTTCTTGTGAACCTTTCTGAATACATAACCATATATTCTCTGCGTTTCTTCCAGAAGTGCCTATATATAGAAATACAAATATAACAGTGCCTATAGATATAACACATATTTAGAAAGCAGGTTTTGGACTGGGGAAGCCCCTGACCAACAAAACATTTTGGGTCCTTACCTGGGGAACTAGACTGACATGAATGTTACAGAAGTTCTCTCTTTTTGCTTTGAACTGAAACTGACGGAAAGCTTCAATGAAAGGCATGCTTTCAATATCGCCTACCGTCCCACCAAGCTAAAAAAAGACAAAGACGTTTAGAATTAAAGTCAGTACTGAATTTGCACGCTAAAGCATATTTAAATATACATAAAAGGACTAAAACATCTCTCCCACACCTCCCTCCTTCCCTAAAGGAGCATCAACACCAATACAACAAGCACGACTTCCCGGTTGTATGTACTATTTCCACAGCTTCCAATCTACCCCAATTATTTTACCTTTGTGATTTCCCCCAAAATCAAAAAGCCTCAAGAAAAACAGTTTCTCATGTGGGCAGTACCTCTCCAGGAACATTACCTTTACCTCTATTCTCTCTTCAGGGAAAAGATTTAGGTGTTAAAATTATCGTTTATGAACATTAGGTGGCACTGAGAAGAAAAATTTCTATTAAGTTTTAGTAACTATGTAGAGTGGGTTTGGACACATGCAGGAACAGAGACACAAGGCATTCTTTGGAGCACTGACAGCCTCCCACGCCTTGTCAGATAGTGTCTCCTAGGTATTTCAGGATCCAGGCTTGCGAACCCTGGAACAGAAATTGCCACTGAAGCTGCAGGGAGAGTCCTAAGTCACTGTGACCTGGGTACTCTGACAAGCTCCCTCTCTCCTGTATTAGCATACCCTGCCAGCCAACTCAGCAGCACTGTCTGAGCCTTCGCCCTGCTCTGTCTCCTCTGGTAGCAGGAAACTGAAGGTGTTCATCACCACTAACTTGTGCCATTCACTTTTCTAGGTCTATGCTTGAACTAGTTGCTCCAAGGCTCCCTTTACTGCTACGGAATAAAGACAACTGGTCCCAGAGGGTGACTTACCTACCCTCTCTCTTTCCACCACGGAAGAAGGCAGCACAGCAGGATTAACTCAGGCTTTGGCATATGAAGTTACAAGAGCTAAAATTCATTCTATAGACTAGTTCACATTACACTAGAGAGCAAAGCACCTCAAGAATACAACTGTCCAAAACCTAAGTCTTTCCCTGTGTGGATTCAGACACAGGGCATTCAAAAGATTACACTGAAGAAGCGAGGCTAGCAAGGAGGATTTTTAACCAACTCAATAACATGCACAGTCAAACATTACTGTAAAAAAAATTTACTACGAAAAATAAGCATATGGTTCAGTTTACTCCATACAAGAAGCAAAACTATATTTTAAGAGCTACAAACCTCAATCACACAAACTTGGGGTTCAATGCCATCTTCGTCTACAGGAATTCGTGCCTGCCTCATTACCCATTCTTGTATGGCATCTGTGATGTGGGGAACAACTGAAAAAGAAACCCAGGCAAGGGTTAAAGCCACAACGCACGCACTCTTCTCCTCCTAACTCCCTACAGAGCAAGTTATTGAAACTAAAGAGCCAGTGCTTCCCGTATCACTTCAGCACTAATTTCGTGTCTTTAAAGTATGCATTTTTGAAGTGATTATTCTTGGCTGTGATTTTCAAGAGAAATGTCTTGGCAAGAACTGCAATTCTGCCTCAATTTAAACACACGTAAGGAACATTTCCTTTAAGCTGCAAGATTTAAGTACAAGCAGTTCTTTGCTCTAAGCAGAAAGAGTTACTCTGTTTTAAACTGTCTGGAAAAGTCCTTATCCAAAGCAGCTGTGGAGGATGCTTAAAAAGGGAAGGGACTGGTCTGATCCTCAAAGAGCCTTTGGTTTTCTAATGACATGACAGTTATCAAAGGCAATAACCATTTTAACCAGCTAACAAAATCCACAGGTGTGTCAGTCTGAGATCTGTTCACATTTAGTGTTGGCTACATTAGACAGTTGGACACAACAGTTCCGACCACAGGCAGCATATTGCCAAGCACTGGAAAGCTTTGAGGGGCTTCAGCATGGCACACGCCCCTATACCTCCACTGATACGTCTTCTACTTCCCCTTTTAAAAAAACAAACAAAACCATCACAAGGACAGTGTATAACAAAGACCTCAAGTTTGGATGAAATGCAAAAGCATCCAACCAGGACAGAAATACAGAATATATTTCTAAGTATCAGAAATGAAGCTTCACGTCACCTTGGACAGTTTTACCAAGATAGTCTCCTTTCCTCTCCTTGTTGATGACATACTGGTAGATCTTCCCAGTAGTCAGATTGTTGTCTTTGGTGAGTCGGATATCGAGGAAGCGCTCATAGTTACCAAGGTCCAGGTCTACTTCCCCTCCATCATCCAGCACAAACACCTCCCCTGTGGCACACCAAAAAAGATACAAGCGCACATGTCAAGGGGAAACGGTTCACATCAGCAATTTGTTGGGTTTGCCTGCAACAGCTGGAAGAATTCAATGCAAGGAAATGCCTTTTGATTGCTACAGCAAGTTCAGGAGTGGCTAATAAAACTAAAAGCCTTATATAACAAAGAGGGCTACTGCATTGAGGAGTGAATCCCTCAAGCAAGCAGCAATGATAAAAAAAACAGAGAGCACATCTCTGCTCTTTGCTGGTGGCCAGTCAGTCTGGAGCCGCGGACAGGCTCAGCCTGCAGGTCCCAAACTCCTTCCCCATGCAAAGGAGCTGGTACCTCCCGGCAAAACCAGCCCCGGGACCCACGTGGAAGACCCCAGCGCCCAGCTCAGGGCCGGCGGCCTGCTGCCAGCTCGGCCCCGGGGCCCCTCCCCGTGCTCATACGGGGAGAAGGTGCCAGCGTCAATGTTGATGTAGGGGTCGATCTTGATGGAGGTGACGTGCAGCCCGCAGGACTTGAGGATGGTGCCGATGCTGCTAGCGATGATCCCCTTGCCGATGCCCGAGATCACCCCGCCCGTGACCAGGATGTACTTCATCTGCCTCGCTGCCTGACCCCGGCCCCGCCTCAGCGAGGCTCTGCCTGCCCGCTGCCTGGGGGAGCCCCAGACCCCGCCATTC